AATATTTTCGCGATAATATTCGGCATTTATTCGATTAATACGAGCGAAGAGCGACCATTGGCTGTTATGGCGGACCACACCATCACCATGGCCGGCGCTTGAGTTCTGGTGGCCAACAGAATGTGCACATTTTCAGCTGACCTCTTTGGAAAGTAACCACGATTAGTTTGTTTGTTTACAAACTGCTGGACAACGAATATTTTCTCATCGGAGAAAACCAAATTCGGTAGTTCACCACTTTCCGCTAAGCGAAGCAACTATTTACCTCTTTCGAGTCTATTTACTTTCTGTTGCGGTGTAAGTTCTTGCACTCTTTGGAATTTTAATGGCTTTACCCCGAGCTCATTTTTCAATATTTGCCGAATGGAATATTGGGATATGTTCAGCTCACGAGCCATTTTTCGGCCGCTGCGACGCGGGTTTCTATCAAGTTTCTTTACTTTTCGAACCATTTCTGCTGGTGATGCCGTCCACTTCCTTGACATCGGGCTACGCTACGGTAACGAGCGATGGTACGAGACACAAAAGATTTATTCACATTTAAATGCTGGATTGCTCTAACGATTGGTTTTCCAGCCAAATATAAAGAAATCACACTATCACGCTTGAATTCCATCCCGAATAACTTTTTTTCTCGAAAATTCAGACCAAAGTTGGTAAGAAGGTTTAAATTTAGATATAGCTCCCATATATATCTTCTTCCGATTTCGGGTAAATTGTGCTTTTAGTGGCCAATATCAGTCCAAATGACCTGAATTTCGGCACCATCCGACCAAATTCAGTCTAGAAGCAAGTACATCAAAATTAGTTCAGATATAGCTATAGTTCCCATAAATATGCTTTATCCGATTGGTGTTTAAGTCCCTCACAATCGTAATATGCACTCCACAACAATGATATTTGTTATCAGATATCAGATACAGCCCAGAAATACCTCTGCCAAAATTTGATTAAGATCGGTGCAGAATTTGGATGGAATTATTCTTCTCAGTTGTAAATATTTCCTGAAATAATTTACACTCTTTCATTTTCACTTTACTTTTTTATCTTCCACAATACTGACGGCGGTGACACATGACCTGATACTTACCCACATTTTGAAATTTTAATACATTTTTTGCATTTATTTCATTTTTCTTTTTCAAACATTTATTTTATTTTATTTTTATATTTATTTATATTTTTGCTTTAACTAAATTGACTACAAACAGGATTTTTGTTTATTCTAACGTTTAATAGTGTAATGTGTTTTTTGCTCTTCTTTTACGATTTCAATAGTTACCTTTTGCACTTAAATACTAAATTTTCTTTTAGTTTCTGCTTTTTGTTTCACATTCTAAAGATATCAGTTCTTAAAGTTAACTTTGGCAATTGCTATGTTAGGTTTTTCTCCATTTTTTCTTTTTTGGTTTTGCTTTTGGTGAAATAAAACAGCCTTGTTGGGATTGTTTGATTCATAAAAACAACGAACCGTAACGAATCAAAGCAAAAATTAAATAAAAATTTACGCTTTCCGGTGGAACGGAAAAAAACCGCCAAAATTGATTTTTCGATATGTGGTTTTTAGGGTTTTGGATTTTCACCAAGCGTTTTTTATTCGTTTATAATAAAAACAAACGAACAAACGTATAAAGAAATAAAAAATCCAACCGAGTACTCGGCCAAATATTGAAAACGAACAGAAACAACAAAAAAATAGCAACACAAACACACACAAATATTGGTGGTATATGCGATTGTAGCCAGGCCTTTGCGGGATAGATACAACAATCATTCAATAACAATTAAAAAGGATATCTGGGAACGGTGGATGCTCAACAACTATTTGGATATTAGGGTGGTACTAAAATTTATTGGAAATATTTAGGAATATAAATATTGTAAATCTTTTTATAAAAAATCTCTCGACCTAGGGCTTGGCTTAGAAAAATAGGCTGGAGTTTACTGATGGCGTGAAGGGTTGATATAAGGCGGGATTTTTGAATATTCGCATTTAAATAGTACGGCACTGTTATTAATCAACTGCTGTTCGAAGATAAGGAGGGATTTTTGGAGGGTAAGAAAAGTTCCAAACAGAAAGAGTTCGGCATTATTAATGAGTGTTAACTAAGGGCTTGGACTTTGAAATTTTGCATGAAGATCACAATGGATGTTCAGGGTGAGATAAAGCGGAATTTCTTTGTATTCGAAATTTGTATTTTATAGCCACGAAAAATATTAAAAGGTACAGGGTTTCCCATATTCGACGGACCCATCTGGCAACGCCATAACTTTTGACAGAGATGTCACATCGCTTAATGACATACCGCGTTTAAAGCGTCAGTCCAAGCAGATTTTTACCATGAACCAATACACGCCACGCGAGCTCTCTGAAATAGTTGAAATTTACATTCAACAGAAGAAGTCAATTGTGAAAACTCAACGTGCTTTTAAAACATTAAAAAATGTGAGAAGTGCGCCTTCTAAGAACACCATTAAACGTTTATACGAAAAATTTTCGACTGGTAATGCTCTTTCTAATCCGAAGAGGCCATATAAAAGTCGACCAAGGCCGTTCTCAGCAGTTGGGCATGGCTCGGTCCACTTTACAACGGATTATTCGCATTGATTTGCATTTGTTCCCGTACAAAATTCAATTGACGCAAAGAATGTTGCCTGCGGACAAGCCGCGTTCGCCCGATTTGACGTCGCCTGACTTCTTCTTGTGGGGATATTTGAAGTCAAAGGTTTTAGTTAACAAGCCAAGGACCGTAGAAGAGCTCAAGGACAACATTCGTGAAGAAATAGCCGCTATTCCGGCCGAAATGCTGGCAAAACGATGGAAAATGCAGCACAATACGTCATCAACGCCAGAGGCGGCCATTTAAGAGATATCATATTCAAATATTCAAAAATTGATATAAACAAATCTACTTGGAACAAATTAAATGATTAACATTGCTAACCGCCAAATTTTTATTTTTTTCTTTGATTTTTTAAAAAAAACATGGGTCCGTCGAATATGGGCAACCTTGTATAATATTTTTATTGAGCATTTAAGAAGTATTGGAAAACTGCAATTTATGATTAGAGTCACATTTGCTGCATAGGGTTATATGAGGTGGAATTTTTAAAAATTCGTACTTTAAACGTATCAAAAGTACTAAAATTGTAAGACATTGTTAGTGAGCTATAGGCAATAGGTAGACCAATGAACTCTTGCATGAAGGACATTTTAGATATAGAGAAGTAAAATTAGCCGCGATTTTTGAAACTTCGTACCAATGGCGAATGGTGCAAAAAATTGCAAAATGATACAGAATTGTTATTGATAAGATGTAGACCTAAAATGTTTGTGTAAGGGCCACACTCGGTCAACAGAGGCAATATTTTCGTAGCATTGTTATTATGAAGGTTACGGATTAAAGGTACAAAATGGTAAAACGATGTTACTGAGCAATAAGTGAGACCAAGAACTTACAAATTTTTGCAAAGAAGAACAGTGTTGAGGTAGAGGGATATTTGGAAATTCCCACTTTGAGGATGCGAAAAGTACCAAGAACTACCAAATAGTATAGCATTATTATTGAGGAATCGGAATAGAAATGTTCCACTTGGTTAAAAGAAGCCTGCTTTAAGAGCACCAACAACAGTAAAAGGTATATACATTGGGTGAGCTAATCACCCAAATTTACCAAACGGTACGACATTAGGCGCTGGAACTTAATAATGTAGTATGGATGTAACTCTTTACACCTAGGGGCGGGACACGGCGAGATTTTTGAAACTTTATACTTCAAATCCATCAAATTAACAAGTATCAGTATCAGTCGGTTTTGCCGACAGATGTATACCCTCAGTAATGTCCTTTCATATATCTAAAGGGTGAGATGAAAAAATTGCAACCAACTTCAGACTGCTGTCATTTTTAAGCAACTAAAATTATTCCAGTGACAGCTCATTATATTGTTTAGAAGCGAATTTTCCAGAAAAAAATTATTCGTGATGGAATTCTTTATATTTGGCTAGAAAACCACAAATGGCATTTAAATGTGAATGAATCATTTGTGTCTCGTATCATCGCTCGTTACCGTGATACCGGTAGCTTATCCCGAGGTCAAGGAACTGGACGGAAGAAAACAGCTACATCAGCAGAAATGGTACGAAAAGCAAAGAAGCGACTTGATCGCACCCGCATCACAGTGGCCGAAAAATGGCTCGTGAGCTGAACACATCGCAATATTCCATTCGGAAAATATTGAAAAATGAGCTCGAGATAAAGCCATTGAAATTCCAAAAAATACAAGAACTTACACCGCAACGGAAAGAAAATAGACTCAAAAGAGTCGAAGAGTTGCTTCGCTTGGCCGAAAGTGGTGAACTGCCGAATTTAGTTTTCTCCGATGAGAAAACCGTAGTTGTCCAGCAGCTTGTAAGCCAACAAAATGACCGTGTTTACTTGCCAAAGAGATCAGCTGAAAATGTGCACCTTCGGCACCACCAGAACTCAAGAGCCGGTCATGGTGTTGATGTGGGGCGCCATAACAGCCGATGGTCGCTCTCCGCCCTCCGCTCGTATTAATCGACCGTGGCATCTGAATAAATGCCGAATATTATCGCGAAAATATTCTGGAGGGTGCTTTAAAGCCTTGGACACGCAAACATTTTGGCCTCAGACCTTGGGCATTCCAACAGGACTCAGCACGCGCCACCCAAGAATGGTTACAAAATTAGGTTCATCGCCTTATTTCCAGCGCACAATGGTCACCAAAATTTCCGGATGCCAATCCGAAGAAAGGTTGGCACTAAAAAATACCAAAGTTTCGATCACCTCAGGCAAGCGCTTTGCCGGGAATAGACCAAAATACCACAGAGCAACATTCGGGCAGCGTGTGACGGTTTCATTGGGTGTTTCAAGGCCATAATTCGTGCCAAAGGTGAGCAATTCGAACAAATCTAAACTTATTCTAAAATTTGATGCTATTTCCGAATTTTGTTTTTTTTTTGTTTTCATTCAATAAAATTTAAAAATCAATTTAAAAATTATGGCGTTTGACTTTTTTGCAGGTTTTTTCTCACCCCTTCATTTTTATGCAAACGGTATTATGGCACGTTTATCGGGCATTTGACATGTCTCCACCAATCTTCTTGAAAAATATGAAATAATCGCAACTTCCTTGAAAGTCATGCAAATGAGCGAGTGAAATCATTGCATCACATCACACGACCGTTAAACTTAGATCTGAAACCATTCCATTACAGTGACTAAGAACCACCTTAATATTCACAACAAAAAAGTCCATGCATCTGGTCAACCCATCCTTTTTTATGAATACTAGATAAATTCATTCGCTGCTGTGGTTGGAGGGATGTAGCGGCTGAAAGGGATACAATTTCTGATGAGCGTAACTTCAAAATATCAGCTTTGATGATTTCATTTGTTACCATGGAAATACCGAACAAAACCACAATTTTTAATATGAAATGAAGCGGTGAAATAAAATATCTTCAAATTGGTGCTTGGCTTTTGTCCTGTTCCTCCAACGGCATACATATATGTATGTTTTCAAGGATATTCAATCTAAATCTAATGGCAGTGTACAATATTTTTTTTTTGCTTTACTTTGAATGGGGGAGGGTAGGCGGGGAGATGTTAAAGCCAATTCTAAGTTTTAGGGGTTTTATCAAAAACTTTGTTGAAGTACCAATAGAAGGTCCTCTAAATGCAATATTCTGCTCTTTGTTTGGGAAACCTTGAGGAAGACCTCCCTCTCTTCTTTGGTCTCTAAACAGCTGTACCATTAATCATATCATAATGGTCACGATGCCCCGTACTGGTGCTGCTGCCACCACCACCGGGCTTTACATGTCCACTTTGTACAGCTGCAACTAGCGTAGATCCTGTACCAGCACCGGAGCCGCTTGTTTTAACAGTTGGACTACCGTTGACAATTCCCATTCCCGCAAATAGGCTGGCATGCGAGCGTCGCCTTTCTCTTTCAATTTCATCCAAATCGAATGCATCACCACCAACCATGACACTTGGTCGGCGTTGTTCATCGAAGGCGTAAGCTCTTTGGAATTTTGAGGGACCATGACCGCCAGCTGTGCCATTACCACCTCCGCTTTGGGAGCGTGTTAATATGGCATGATTGGAATTCTGAGAGGAAACAACAGTCGCTGTGGGTGGTGCCCCAACTCCGTACAGGCGAAAGTTGGAGGGTGATGAAGGTATGGCACTTGGCCACTGGACCACTGGCTGTTGTTGTTTTAAAGAAGAGCTCATATGAGGATGTTGCTGTTGTTGTTGCTGGGCATACTGTATTTGATGAGGTGGCTGCAAAAACATGGCCTGCTGCTGGTGCTGCTGTTGAACAAAGTGTCCATTTAGCTCTTCATTTGACTTGTGTAGGCCATATCTGGAACTATAGACATCCTGCTCGCGAGAAAGGCTTAAATAACGATTCTGTGGCTGCAACTGTTGCAATTGATGCTGTTGTTGTTGCTGCTGCAACTGTTGTTGTTGATGTTGCATCATAAGATTCGTTAACCGTTGCTGGCTGGAACTGTAAATATTGTGCAATTGACTAGTACTTAACGCTGAGGCTATACTGTCCTGCGAATCGGTACTTCGTTTCACCAATGCCCTCGGCAATGTGGTACGGCTTTGATACATCATTTGTTGTTGTTGTTGCTGCTGCTGATAGTCGGCGTGGTGGTGGTGCAAACGATTCTGTGACCCACCATAGACATCACGAGTCATATAATGATGTGCCGTTGCACTGCCATGTGGCGGCAAAGGAAATGCGGTGGCTGCATAATCGCTATTCGCTCCAACGCCATGGGAGCCTTCAAAGTCATACAAGGGTTTCGGAACAGGCAGGGGTGTGTACAGGGCGTGAAGTGACAAATTCGAGTTAAGACGTCTCATATGATTGGGTTCAACATACATCGATGCGCGACGTCCATTGTTTCGCAGTGCTGACGATGGCATTAAATGGATGTTATCTGAAAGAGAGGAAAGGGAGAAATGAAGATTTTTTTGTGAGGCAAATATTTAGAGATTTGAAATAACTTAATAGACTGGACTGAGTTGTGTTAATGGAAATTTTGGGATGTACCAAGTCTTGAATATGTCAATTTTGTGGATATTCAAAAGGGGGAGGTGCCAGAAGGAGTTGAACGATATATCCCATCTTCACAACGGATCTTTTGTTAGTGGAAATAATGGGATGTATGAAATATAAAAAGAACCTGATGTTTATTTCGGATTTTATAAACGTTTTGGTTGTTCAAAACTTTGACCCTTTGTGGGGGAGGTAGCAGCAGGAATGGTCCGATCTCTACCGTTTTTTTTTAACAGATCCTGTGTTGATAGAAATATTCAGATGTGTCAAGTCTAACTGGAATCCGATGTTAATTTCTCGTTTTAAGCTTAATGGATATTCAAAATTTCGACCTTTTGTGGGGGAGGTACCAGAAGAAGTGTACCGATATATTCCATCTTAACACCAGATCTTGGGTTTATGAAAATATTGAGATGTGTGAAATTTGAGACAATCGGATTCTCACATCACATTTTATGAAGGTTGTAATTATTCAAAATGTTGACCATTTTTGGGGGAGGTACTTGATGGAGTGGACCGATATTGTCCATTTTCACACCTGACCTAGCACTGACGTAAATATTAGGAATTGCAAAGTTGGAGCAAAATCGGATTATCGTTTCTTTTTCTGTACAAAAAAAAAAATTGAAAATTTCGACCATTTGTGTGGAGGTACCAGAAGGAGTGGACCGATATACCGTCTTACTACCAGATCTTGGGTTCATAAAAATAGTAAGATGTGTGAAATTTGAAGACAATCGGACTCTTACATCACATTTTATTAGACTTGTAATTGTTCAAAATTTCGACCTCCCCCAGTACTTGATAGAGTGAAAACATATTTATGTTTTTGAAAAGTCCCTATCTCCATACCTATCTATTCTATATTTAAAGCCCTCAATTATTGCAACTTTATACAGCCGGATAATCTACAAATTGATATTTTACACTTTGCAACTTGCTGAAGACTTTTTTGCAAATAAAAGCAGCTTAAAGCTTTGAGATTCGTTCGTAGCGCATCGAAATAATCTTTTAAGACGTAAGAGGAGATATAAATTTTTAATCAGCGTAAAATTATAAAATTATTTAAACATATATGGGTTATCCGTCTGCGTATCATTCTAATTTTTGAAGGGATCGACCCATGTTTTGTCTGAATTTGTATGAGGTTGAAAATGGTATATCGGACAAGTTTCGGTATAGCTCCTAGAGATATTCGGTACTTTTATTCCAACGGTATCCGTTGAAATACGGCATTTGAAGTCCTCAAAGGATACCAATCTTTTCGGAAGATTAGGTGCGAAAATAGATAATATAGGCCGACTCCCTCTTGTACCTTCCTCACTAAGTTCACATCCCTCCCTGGCCATGGTGATGGTGTGGGCCACCATAGCAGCCGATGGTCGCTCTCAGCTCCTATTAATCGACCGTGGCATCAGAATAAATGCCGAATATTATCGTGAAAATATTCTGGAGGGTGTATTAAAGCCTTGGGTATGCAAATATTTCGGTCGCAGACCTTGGACATTCCAATAGGACTCAGCACCATCGCACTCAGCAAGCACCACCCAAGAATGGTTACAAAATGAGGTTCCTCGCTTAATTTATAGCGGACAATTGCCACCAAAATCTTCGGACACCAATCCGTTGGACTATTGTGTCTGGAGTGTTTTGGAAAGCAAGGTTGGAACTTAAAAATACCAAAGAGTCGATCACCTCAAGCAAGCACTTCGCCGGGAATGGGCCAAAATTCCACAGAGCACCATTCGGGTAGCATGTGACGGTTTCATTGGCCGTTTGAAGTCCAAAGGCGACCAATTCGAACAAATCTAAACTTATTCTAAAATTTGAAGCTATTTCCGACATTTTTTGCTTTCATTTGAAATTTATGGCGTCATGTAAAAATTATGGCGTTTGACTTTGTTGCAGTTTTTTGAATAAAAGAAGGAGACCTTGTTGTGCACTCTAAAAGAAGACGGCCTTATGGAATTCTATAGAAAACCCACCTTGTGGTCTTCTATAAATGAAGAACACCTCGTAATAGAAGAAGACCACCTTGTCGTCTACAATAGTGGAACATAACATTGTGAGCTTCAAAAGAATACAAGCTTTTGATATTCCATAGAACAAAAATACCTTTTAACCTTCTTTTACAGAAGATGGCGACCTTGTTGGCCTGGTCTTCTTTCTTATGGTCTTCTACATAAGATAACAACATTTGTGACTATTTTGTGGTCTCAGAAGAAGATAAATGTATAGTTTTCTGTAGAAGATGGCGAATTTGTGGTCCCCCATAGAAAAACTTTGGAGAGAAACACTTTGAAGAACACCACATAAATCCACACATAAGAAAATCGAAAGATGACTTTCTCTTAAACACCTTCTCATGGTGGTCTTTAAAAGAAGGCCATATTGTGGTTTTCTATAGCCGAATATGGTATTCAATAGACGAAGTAGACCTACTGGTCATCTATATTTGAAGATGTCCTTGTCTTCATCTGAAGTAGACTATCTGTGGTGACAAAACCATTCTGTGCTTTCCTGTAGAAAATATCACAAAAAATCATGTCATATCAATATTGTTTTCACCTAGAAATGAAGAGCACATCTTCTGTACATAAAATGTCTCATTGGGTTTCTTTTTTTACAGAAAAACTCTACACTGGGTTATTCGTAGAAAAAAATTCTCTTATTGGTCTTTTACGAAAATTTAATCTCTCGTAGAAAAGGAATATTTGAAGGAAGGAGAAAAGTTATTGGTTTCGAAAAAAGATTTTGTGGCCTTTATTAAAGAAAGACAATTTGTATTTTTCGTATTTTCAAGAGAAAGACGGCCTTACGGAAGATAAGCCGTTATGGTCTTCTCTCTTCTGTCTATGGTTCACTCCTTCACAGGCGGACACAAATTCGCATTTAAATCTTTTTTTTGAAGAAAAGGATGTGTTCATGTTGTTGAAGCCGTGCCCATCAAAATCATACATCAAATTTATTTCTGGTTGGATATGAACTATTGACCCATTTCTTTGCTACCTTCCCCGCAAAAGGAGGAACTGCATTAAATTCCTGGATATGGTATAATGCGGAATATTTTTTTTTTACTCAAATGGGCTATTTGGATTGTCTGCCTTTCATACCTACCTTCCCAAACAACAAAAACTAATAACGCCCACTTACCAAGGATTTCAGAGATATGCTTATTTAATATGTGCAATTTTTAAGAATGTGATATTTAGGCGCATACCTCCGGGGACAGAGACTTAGAAGGAATTAAAATAAAGAAGCATTCCATTTGTTACTTTCCATCCAATTGAAGGAATCAGAAGGAAGGGATATTGTCCCTCAAAATGGGATTACTAGATTTAGATATCGTTTAGAGAAACTGTGAATTCGGTAAGATACACCATTGGGAGTACCAAATCATATATTACCTCAGATATTTAGAAATAAGTTTTCATTTAATGTTATGTTATCTTGTACCCCCTCTAACATGCTCCTTCCGATTACAATTCATGTCAACGCTATCACATTTTAACAAAAACTACAATTACCCCGTACAATGTTATTGCACCATTGTTGTTGTTATTGCTGCAGCATTTGTCCCATAGACCCCTTCAATGATACGGACGAATCGTTTCTGGCACAATAAACGCATAACAATTTCGGGAGACAATTTATAAACTTTTCTAACCACTGCCAACCAACCAGCCAGCCAACAAGCCAACAAAAAGGCTTCCAAGCACCGAACTCTAAACTTTACACAAAAATGCAATGATAAATGGCTTTTATTCGACAATGTCCTTGGGCGAGTAAAAATGATTGGTGCGGCTACTAAAAGTGAAGACGAGAAGCGTTTAATGTATTTTCAATAAAAGCAGACAACAACACTTCCTTCAGTTATTTTTGTTGTTGTTGTTGTGCAGCTATTATGAGATGCTACTTCCATGAAGTTTTCCGTTTCTTTTTTTTATTATTTTCTAAAATATCCTAAAAGAGTTCGGAAGCTAAACTAAATTGATTTCGTTGAAGAGATACAAAATGGCAAGGATGAAGAGCAATAAAGTGTACGTTTTTGAACACCATTTCCTGGGGGAAAAGGGGATGAATAAACTGATTGTATTTAGTAAGTTAGTAATGTAGCCAATCAAGAGCGAGGTGGTTGTGAAGAGAATTTGAAGAAAATCAGATATTGATCCCCTTCATATTGCCACTAGCAAGTGCCCTTCGTTAGCGAAAATCCACCTTAAAATTAAGATTTGTTACAAGAGTTCGTGTTAGGCCTTTTTCGTACTCAAAATTCATATTTTTTCCTTTTGACAAAATTTTTTGATCACAGCTTCGTACGCCGTTCGTAATTATCAGACTTTCAAGGTTTTCTATATAATTCAAGTTTTTTCCTTTTAGGAAAAAATTCGATATCAAATTCCGGGGTTCTAGTTCTATCTCCCAATACCCAATTCTGTACCACTTAGTACTTTTCGTACAATTGTAGAACACATTTTCAAAATCAATTCTATATTTCAGTCCCAGACATATCTCCATATCTCAACCTCAGATAACAAAGGTAATCTTAATATCAAATTTCAGGATTTCATCTCTGTAATTTCCCCCGTTGTCAAATTTAGTTTCATTTAATACAAATATAGTACATATTCCAAGTGAGATACTTCAATATCAAATTTCGGGATTCCAGCTCAATACCAAATATAGCAAAATTCCGTACTTTTCAAACAATTATAGTACAAAGTTTCCACATACCAACAGAGACCTCAATATCAATTTGAACAATTCCAGACCTATCCTTTAACCTAATACAAAATTTGGTACTTTTCGTGCAAATATAGATGCCAATGACATCCATTTCAAATTTTAGAATTTCACTTATTCACCCAATACCAATACCATTTAGTACTTTTCTCAATCCCAGATACCAACGCAAACCTCAATATCAAATTTCGAAATTCCAGCCCTATTCCTTCACCGAATACCAAATTTAGTACAATTTAGATTTCGTGCACTTGTAGTATCCATCCAACCTTGATTCTCATACCGAATTTTAAGTTTTTATCTCTATCCGTTCACATAAGACCAAATGGTAACATTTTGGAAGTTTAGTAACATTTTAGAACTTTTCGTAACCTTAAAGTTCGAATTTCTTTATCAGTGACTCTCATTATAAAAATTTAAGAATTCCAGTTCTATCGGTGTACCACAATCCTAATTTGTACTAAATTTGGTTCCATTTAGTACACATAAGAACGAAGTTACAATATTATCTACATTCCACAGTCCCAGAATGCAATAGTAATCGTTTTTCTAAATTTCAGAATTCACTCAAATCCAAATTGTACCAAATTTAGTACCATTTAGTACACTTATCATACAACCCAATAGAAATCTTACTTTCAAATTTCAGAATTCCAACTATACCGGTTCACCCAAAATTTAAATTGTACCAAATCTAGTATCATTTAGTACTCATAATTACGAAATTCCAAAACTACCTACATTCCTCAGTCCCAGAACGCAATAGTAATTTTATTTTTAAATTTCAGAGTTACAGCTCTTTTGATTCACCCAAATCGAAATTGTATTAAATTTAGTACCATTTAGTACCTTTTATGCATATAAATACGTTCAGGATTCCAGCTCCATCCTTTCCTCCAAATTCAAATTTAGTACCGTTTAGTACTTTCGTACACATAAGTAAACACTTCCAAAACTACTTCTTTATATCGACTCCACTCCTCGACCTTGATTGCCATTCCAAATTTTAAGTTTCTAGGTCTAACCGTTCACATGATACGAAATGGTACCAAGTGCAGTACATATTTGTACTTTTCGTACACTTATAGTGCGCATTTCCAAATACCCTTTTGTACATCTATCATACACTCCATCAGTGACTCTCATTCCAAATTTACTGCTTCCTCAAATACAAAGGCTACCATATTTGGTACCTTTTAATACTTTTCGTACCCTTCTAGTTCGAATTTCCAAAAACCCATTTTTCTCAGACCCCTTCAGACCAAGGCCGACCCTCACCCAAAAATTGTCTTCGATCTCTTCTATAAATATGAAGGAAAAAGATACGTGTATCAGTACTACTAATAATAATATTACTGCTATCAATACAAGGATTATTCTGATCGGAAATTTTGACCCTAACGAAAGCGGTGTTTTTATACCCTACACCACATAGTGGTAAGGGTATTATGTCTTTGTGCATTTGTTTGTAACATGGAGAAGGAAACGAGATAGACCCATAGTTACTTTTGAGAACCTTCATAGAATCACTTTCTGAGTCGATTTATGCATGTCCGTCCGTCTGTCCGTCCGTCCGTCCGTCCGTCCGTCCGTCCGTCTGTCCATGTATTCTTGTGAACAAAATGCAGGTCGCATTTATTATCCGATTGAGATGAAATTTTCCAAACAATATTTTTTTGGCCCAAGGACGAACCCTATTGAAATTGGTGAGAATCGGATCAAATTTAGATATAGCTCCCATATATATCTTCATCCGATTTCGGGTTAAATGAGCACCAAATGTCCACTATCAGTCCAAATTACCTGAATTTTGGCACACCCAACCGGGTTCGGCCTTGAAGCAAGTATATCAAATTTGGAGAAAATCGGTTCAGATATAGCTATAGCTCCCATATATATCTTTCATCCGATTTGATCTTTAAGTCCCTCACATTCCTACTATGCACTCCACAACCGTGATATTTGGTACCAGGTATTAGATGGAGCACAGAAATAGCTGTTTTAAATTTTATCGAAATCGGTTCAGATTTGGATATAGCTCCCATATATATCTTCATCCGATTTCGGGTTAATTGACCACCAAATGGCCAATATCAGCCCAAATGGCCCGAATTTTGGCACATGTGACCGAGATTAGCCTTAAAGTAAATACAAGAAATTTGGAGAAAATCGGTTCAGATTTGGATATAGCTCCCATATATATCTTCATCCGATTTCGGGTTAATTGTGCTCCAAATGGCCGATATAAGCCCAAATGGACTGAATTTTAGTACATCGGACCAAATTCAGCCTAGAAGCAAGTATATCAAATTTAGTGAAAATCGGTTCAGATATAGATATAGCAACCATATATATGTTTCATCCGATTTAGTGTTTTAGTCCCTTACATTCGTAATGTTCACTCCACAACCGTGATATTTGGTACCAGGTATTAGATGGAGCACAGGGATAGCTGTTTTAAATTTTATCGAAATCGGTTCAGATTTGGATATAGCTCCCATATATATCTTCATCCGATTTCGGGTTATTGACCACCAAATGGCCGTAATAGCATCAATTTTGGCAAATCCGACCGAAACCAGCTTAGAAGCAAGTACACCAATTTTAGTAAAAATCGGTTCAGATATAGCTATAGCTCCCATATATCTGTTTCATCCGATTTCGTCTTTAAATCCCTCACATTCGTAATATGCACTCCACAGAAATGATATTTGGTACCAGTTATCAGATAAAGCCCAAAAATAGTTGATTTTAATTTTATTAAAATCTGTTCCGATTTGGATATGCCTCCCATATATATCTTCATCCGATTTCGTGTTAATTGTGCATCAAATGGCCAATATCAGCCTAAATGGCATGAATTTTGGCAAATCCGACCGAAACCGAAAAATTGCAAGCGCACACATTTTAGTAAAAATCGGTTCAGATATAGCTCTAGCTCCATATATATGTTTCATCCGATTTGCTCTTTAAGTCCCTTACATTCGTAATATACTCTTCACAGGAATGATATTTGGTACCAGATATCAGATAAAGCCCAAAAATAGTCGATTTTGATTTTATAAATATCTGTTCAGATTTGGATATAGTATAGCATAGCATACTCTTCACAGGAATGATATTTGGTACCAGATATCAAATAAAGCCCAAAAGTAGTCGCTTTTAATTTTCTCAAAATCTGTTCAGATTTGGATATAGCACCCATATGTATCTTCATTCGATTTCGAGTTAATTGTGCAACAAATCGCCAATATAAACCGAAATGGCATGAATTTTGGCATATCTGGCCAAATTCAGCCTAGAAGCAAGGACACCAATTTTAGTAAAAGTCGTTTCAGATATAGCTATAGCTCCCAAATATATCTTCATCCGATTTCGGATTAAATGTGCAGCAAATGGCTAATATTGGTACATCAAATTTAGTGAAAATCGGTCGGATACAGCTATAGCTCCTATGTATACCTTTCACCCGATTTGTACTTTAAGTCCCTCAAATTCGAAAAATGTACGATACAAGAATAATATTTGGTATCAGATGCAGCCAAGAAATATCTTCTTTTTCAGTTTTACAAATATCGGTTCAGATTTGGATATACCTCCTATATATATCTTCATCCAATTTCGTGTTGATTGCGCACCAAATGTCCAATATCAGCCCAAATGTCCTGGGTTTTGGCAAATCTGATCGAATTCAGCCTAGAATCAAATACATCAAACTTGGTGAAAATCGGTTCAGATATAGCTATAGTTCGTAAAATGCACGATAGAATTAGATAGATTTTGATTTTGTACCAAATATCTCATAGAGCTCTGAAATGCTCTGTATAAACCTTTTTACGAGAGCTCTACTAAATATGCATAGTGGTGTAGGGTATCATATAGTCGGCCCCGCCCGACTTTTGAGCTTTCCTTACTGGTTTAATGTTTAAGAACTCTCATTAAACATGCTCTTAAGAAGTACAAATACTCTACAAAAATATTTGTCATAAAATTGGACTGTAGGTCTCTGATGCATCAAAACTCTAAATCCTACCGATTCCAATGTATCTTAAACTATAAGTTAACTTTTCCCAAATTCCCAAATTTCTATATGCCACGGTGTCCCTGTGAACATCACCACCACATTTGTCAGTGGTCTCCTGTTTCTCTTGTTCTACGGGGCATCCATTATCAAATAGTTTGTTATGCTTTGTGCAAAGCAGAGAGGGTGATTGCAGCATCGGCATTGAAGCCAATATAAATGGCGCATAAAACTGAAAAATTCTTCAAAGAAAACTTTCAACTCTATCTCCCCCTCTCTCCCTCCATCTCTCTCTCTCTCTCTCTCTCTCTGCATCCACATTTTATATCCACTTACCATCAATCACATATAAATGGTCTTCATTTTCGGTCAATTTCTTAAAACCATGCTCATCGTCGTTTTCATCCTCAGCAGCGGCATGGCCGCCAAGCATGTTGGCATCATCGTCGTCATCATCATCATCATCGACAACATCGTCATTATCTCTCTCGGCCTCTCCTCCTGCCGTCAGAAAAATGTGATTATTTTCCCGAGTTTTTCCACTGGCATTGCTGTCATTTGCACCGGCACGGTATTCACTTAGTTTGTCGTGAACTTTCTTACGGCCATCCAATGGCTTTTGGTTCGAACTGGCGTTGCGTATGTTGGGTTTCGAACGAAACATTTTGTGATTCATTCCTCCGCTGGCCAACGATGCATTCATGTCTCTTCTATGGCCTGTCTCTTCCTCCTCCAGGATGCCATCGTCCTCGTCGTCGTCATCGTTCTCAATGTAGTAAATATTCTTGGGCTTTGGACGTACGCCAGCCCGTTTGCAGAACTCTTCGAAGAGTTCATCTTTGGTCTTGCGAATACCCCTTCTGAGGCCACATAGTTTTTGGGGCTGCTCCTCGTCGGCGTCATCATTGTCATCCTCCACATTGGCCTGATCTTTGTGGTCAACATCAACATCATCTTCAACGTCAACATTGCCATTATTCTGATGGACAGGGCCACCACGATGGCCACGTTTGTGTTGTTGTTGCTGCTGCTGTTGTTCATCAAACTTGTAGCTGGTTTGGTGGTGCTGTTGTTGTTGTTGTTTATTGTATAAGTTTTTCTTGTTATTGCTGTGCTGTTGTTGGGCGCCACTTCTTTCAGTGCCAAGAGCAACATTTGTTTGAGTCTCGCTATCGCTGTTTGTGCTGCTGTTGTATCTCGTGTTGGTTGCCACATTACGTCTTCGATTGCCGAAACCACTGTTGGCGGAATTCTTTTGTTCCTGCAAGGAAGTTTTGTTGTTGCCGCTGTTGTTCTGTGCGGTTGTCGCCTTCTCACTTAAATCAGCGGCAAAGCTGACATTGTGGGTGGCATAAATCTCCGTTGTTGTGGAAACACTTCGCGTCAGAGGAAACTCTTGCGGTGTATCGCTAAATTGTTGTGGCGGTCGTGGCAGTGTTTGGATTTGCAACTGATATTGGGAGCGATGTTGATGCTGCTGCCGTTGTCGCTGCTGGAGCCCGGCACCACCCATCCGTATGGCAGATGGTGGTGGCGGTGGTAGCGTCGATTCCAAATAAAGTTCATTTAGAGATTTTGCCAAATTTTTCGAGTGCAAATTACACTTATTCGACATTGCTTGGTCGGAATTCTTTTCAAAGTAGTATCTGTAATGGAAGAAAATGGTAGGGCACGGGGGGTGAATAAATAAATAATGGCAAATGAATTTAAACAGTTTGTTTTTGCTTTTTTGTTGGCAACATATTAAAGTCTTTCTCCTTCAGTTATACCGAAAACCAATGTTTATGTTGGCAGTTATTGAATCTTTTTCTAGGTTAGGGGGACCGGTGAGGTGGTCGTTGGTTCTTTATGAACAATGAGAGAAAGCTAAAATTTTAATAAGAGCAAAATTAAGTTATTGAATTTCCTTAAATTTTGAGAAGAGTTATTGAAACGTCTAATCTTAAAGGTCTTTTATCTATAGAAGACTTCTGAAAACTTATATCTAGAGAAATTCTCCCACGGGGTTTCTGTGTGCACAACCCCACTTTAAACTACATCTACAATTAAAAATTGTTTCGAAAGTCTAATATCTAAAGGCTCTCTTTTAAAGGAAGAACTACAGAATTTTGCAAGGACTTTTAGTTATGTATCAGCGCTTAAATTTTTCCGAATTATAGTAGGTCTCTTGGTCGTTTAAATTTAAAGAATGTTCTCTAGTCTAGCGGTCTTTTCTTTATAAACAACAAAAAAAAGGCTTCTAAAACCATTTTCCCTTGAAGGTCTTTACATGTCATTGCCTATAGAAGACCCATAAGAACACTTCTTATTTTAGAAATCTCCTCTTGAAGAACTTTTCTTTATTGCGAACCTTTTATATGTCTTCTTCTCTGCGAAAGACAGTCTCCGTATCGAAGACTTCTCAGTGGTGTCTGTATAAAATACCTCCAAATGATATTCGCCGCATAGAACATCCCTTTTCCGGAAAGAAAACCTCATATAGGCCTTCGCCGTAGAGAATACTTTTGAAGGCCATCGAAATATAGAAGTCTTCATAGGTACATACGATTTCTTAAGGTGGTGGACTTCTCTGCATAGAAGACTTCTTGAGAGTTTTTCTGGTATACAAGATCTCCTGAGGGTCATCTCTGTGTAGAAGATCTCTTGAGGGCCACCTCTGTATAGAAGACTTCTTGAGGGCCATCTCTGTATAGAAGACCTCTTGAGAGCCATCTCTGTATAGAAGACCTCTTGAGGGGCATAGAAGATGTCTTGGTGGTCTTCTCTGCATAGAAGATCCTGGAGAATCTCCTCTACAAGAACAATCTCTGTGTGGAAGATTTCTTGAGAGTTTTCTTGGTATTGAAGATCTCTTGGAAAACCTGTTGATGGCATTTTCTGTATTGAAGACCTCTTGAGGGTTATATCTTCATAAAAGACCTCTTGAAGGTCTTCTCTGTGTGGAAGACCTGTGGAGATCTTAAGGATCATTGTAGAGGATTTTCTATATGCAGAAGATCTCCTGAGGGCCATCTCTGTATAGAAGATCTCTTGAGAGCTATCTCTCAATAGAAGATCTCCTGAGTGTCATTTCTGTATAGAAGACCTCTTGAGAGTCATCTCTGCATAGAAAACCTCTTGAGGGCCATCTCTGCATAGAAGACGTCTTACTTTTCTTCTCTGCATAGAACATCTCTGGAGGATCTCCTCTACATGAAAAATCTTCTAAGGGTTATCTCTGTGTGGAAGATTTCTTGAGAGTCTTCTCGGTATTGAAGATCTCTTAAGAGTCGTCTCTGCATGGAAAACCTGTTGATGGTATTTTCTGTATTGAAGATCTCTTGAGGGTCATCTCTGAATAAAAGAACTCTTGAAGGTCTTCTCTGTATGGAAAACCTTTTAAGGGTCTTCTCTGCTTTGAAGACTTCTTGAGGGTCGTCTCTGTATAGAAGACCTCTTGAGGGCCATCTCTGCATAGAAGATCTCCTGAAGGTCATCTCTGTATAGAAGACCTCTTGAGGGCCATCTCTGCATATAAAGCCTCTTGAGGGCCATCTTTGCATAGAAGACGTCTTACTGCTCTTCTCTGCATAGAAGATCTCTGGAGGATCTCCTCTACATGAAAAATATCTTGAGAGTCCTATCTGAATGGAAAAACGTGTGATGGTATTTTCTGTAGTGAAGACCTCTTAAGGGTCATCTCTGCATAAAATACCTCTTGAAGGTCTTCCTTGTATGGAAGTCTTCTTAAGGGTCTTTACTGCATTTAAGGCATCCGGAGGATCGTCTCTGCATAGAAGACCTCTTGAGGGTCTTCCCTATATAGAAACCATTGTGAGTGTCTTTTTTGAATAAACGTTCTCTTGAGGGTATTATCTGTATTTAGTCCCTATTGAAGATCTTTTCCGAATAGAATGCATCTAGAGGTCTTCGCCGAGTGGCAAACCGCTTTGAAAATATCCTTTCTTATTGAAAATATTTCTAAGATCGCTTAGAGATTTTCTTTCTCTATGGAAAATTTAGCATGAGTCATCTCTTTATCTCTCTCTCTCTCTCTCGAGTCATATCATTATAGAACACTTCTTCATAGTCTTCTTTTAATGAACATCTCTTGATAGGCTCTAAGGAGTTTTTATATGTCAACAAGACTATATAAAACCTCCTTAGAGCCTATCCTCTATGGAAGACTCTTTAGAAGTATTTTCCCTGCAAAATGTGTCTCAATGTTATTTTTCCTATAAAATACCTCTCAAGGTCTTTTTACTGCAAACCTTTCAACGTCCTCTTACGCACTTTTTTAATTTATCCTACTATAAAAGTGGGCCTTTACCGAAAACTACTTATAAGTTATATATCTCGATTTGTCAAAAACTCACCTCCTCTCCAACTCATTGAGATACATTGTTGATCCCAGGCCATTGGGATGCTTCCGACATGCTAAGGGTACTTCTTTATCAAACATCTCGGCAGCAGTACGTCTTCCCGAAGCAGCCGCAGCTGCAACAGCTTCAATACGGCTCATTTGTGTCATATTTTTCAGCAGCTTCTTTGAATCCAATTCCAATTCTTGAGCACGAACTTGACGTTTCTTGTTTTGCTGTCCGTGACGTTTACGATCTATTGGCTTCTTATCGAGTTCATGTTTATAACTTTTATAGGTATTTTTATTGGCTTTGGGTTTGCGTTTCTGGCGGTTTTCTCCTTCACGGATTTTCTCCTGCAGGTTTGAAATGCTGAAGCATGGTAGGCGCTATGGTGGAAAATGGGATAGAAATTTAAACACTCTTTAATAATATTTATTAAAAAAGAACAAGTAAATAGAAGCTAAGTTCGGCCGGGCCGAACTTTCATTACCCTCCAACATTTCAAAAGAAATTGAAAATTTTCAAAATTTCAAAAAAAAAAAAAAAAAAAAAAAATCCGAAAACTACCACTTAAATGAAAATTGGGACGATACGAAGACGAGGACCTGTATACGAAATTATTCGTCATAGGCTCTAGTGCCCATTACGAACTTCAAATACGAAATTTGATACAATTACAGTGAATAATGTGGCTAAAATCAAGAAAATACGGAGTATCGGGATATACCGAAGACATGGACCTGCACATAAAATTTTCTGCCTTAGGATGTAGTACCCATTAGAATCTTTCAGTACGAAATTTAAAACGATTCCGGTAAATAATGTTGCTGAAATCATCAAAATACCGAATATCGGGAGGTACCGTTATATGGGGGCTATACGAGGAAGTACATCGCAAGATCGTCGTAGAATTTTACGATGATCCAGAGTATATATACTTTGTAGGCTCTATTATGAATATTTCGAGAAGTTACAAACGGAATGACAATGTTAATATACCCTCCATAGAATGGTGAAGGGTATAAAAAGATAATCAGGCTCACAATTACAAATACCCCCACCTTTTTAACTTCCTTTAACTTCTTATTCTCTTACCATAACCACCACTCAAAATAATTGTCAATTGCATGAATGCAACAAATCAAATTGTCAAACATTGAAGAAAATCTCATTTCCTTTTTTATACCTCATAAAGGGATCAAAAAAAGTCACCTCTAACAACGTTGCCTCCCATTCCCCGAGCAAAGGCTAAAAGGTCAAACAAAAAAAAAAAAAAAAAATACAAAAATAAAATAACACACACACACAAAATCTGATGCTGATATCAATTTATGTATGAACAACTTTCCTGCAAACAAATATAATGGGGACAAAAATCAGGATAATCTGGTTGGAAGTCAAGTGAAAAGAGTAGCATAAGATGAAACAAACTTGTAACTTAATTTCATACTTAACCCGGCGAACGGATATAAAACAAAACTGAGTGACTGACTGACCCACCGACTAACTGCTAACTGACGATGACCAGTGAAAGGAAATGGTCAACTAGAATGGACGACAGTTTGTTAAAGTTTTAACTGTAATGAGATTAGTCATCAACTAAGGAAAACGGCAAAACGGTACGGAAAGAACGAGTAACAAGTCGTTGGGGAGTTTTTAACTTATTTTATAAGTTTTTTTTTTTCGATACAAGATATAGAAGGACATTTTTGAGTGAAAAAATGTAAAATTTTAATTAAGCTTGTCTTATACAATACCAGACCTCCGCCAAAAATCGCTCAAATTTGAACAAAGAGCGGGAGCGCTTCTGAATTTTTTAATGTTGCTCAAATAAGAGTGAGCATGTTATTCTCGTTTTTGAGTGGAAGCAAAATTCGTTGAAAATTGAACTTTGTTGTATTTCTGCGTATGTACACCTCTCTTACCACCTCTTTTTCGATAACTTTGAAGCTTTTCCGAATACGTTGCAAAATTTGTTTGAAGTTCTCTGTGAAAACCCCAATCTGAATGTATGTATGGACAATGTGGTTCAGTTTTTATACCCTACAACACTATGTGTTGGAGATTGTTTTGGAGATATGGCAAACCATTTAGGGGATGAAATGGACCAAAAACAGAAACATTTCCTGATATGTTGCTGTTGCTCTACAGGCCACAATTATAAACCAATCGGTGCGGAATTTAGCATGGAGTTAGAGTTTAGGAGCGGGCAGATCCTACGAATTTGGATGGTCATCGGACAATATTAAGTGATTAAATAGACCACAATTGTTATACCCTATAGTAAGGAGGGTATATTAATTTTGTCATTCCGTTTGTAACACCTGGAAATATACATTTTAGACCCCACAAAGTATATACAGGATGAGATGAAAAAACTGCATCCAAACTCAGACTGCACTAAGCCACTCGTCCGACAGCTGTCAAAATTATTCCAGAGACAGCTCAATTATTGTTTACAAGCGTACAAAAACATTTTGGTGCGAATTTCCAGAAAAAAAGTTATTCGTGATGAAACTTAAGCGGTATAGTTTGATTTCTTTATATCTGGCTGGGAAAAAAAGAAAACAGCAACATTAGCAGAGCTGAACATATCGCAACATTCCATTCGGCAATTTTTAAAAAAAATGTACTCGGGGTAAAGCCATTGATATTCCAAAAAGTGCAAGAAATTACACCGCAACAGAAAGAAAATAGACTCAAAAGAGCTAATGAGTTGCTTCGCTTGGGGGAAAGTGGTGAAGTGCCGAATTTGGTTTTCTCCAGTTTGTAAACAAACAAAATGATCGTGTATATTTGCCAAAGAGGTCAGCTGAAAGTGTGCACCTTCGGTTGGCCACAAGAACTCAGGCGCCGGGCATGGTGATGGTTACAAAATGAGGTTCCTCGCTTCATTTCCAGCGCACAATGGCCACCAAAATCTCCGGATACCAATCCGTTGGACTATTGTGTCTGGAGCATTTTGCGAAAGCAAGATTGGCACTAAAAAATACCAAAGTGTCGATCACCTCAAGCAAGCGCTTCGCCGGGAATGGGCCAAATTACCGCAGAGCAATATTCAGGCAGCGTGTGACGATTTCGTTGGCCGTTTGAAGGACATAATTCGTGCTAAAGGTATCAATTCGAACAAATCTAAACTTATTCTAAATTTTCATGCTATTTCCGATATTTTTTGCTTTCATTCAATAAAATTTAAAAAATGCAAAAATTATGGCGTCCGACTTTGTTGCAGTTTTTTTATCTCACCCTGTAGAAGGACATTTTTATCGAAAAACTGCTAAATTTTTATTAAGCTTGTCCTATACAATGCCAGACCTCCGAACCACCCTATTTTCGGTATTTTGGTGATTTAAGCGAAATTATGAACCGGAAATGTTTTAAATTTGGTATTTATTCTATGACAGAAAATTGTCCGTGCAGGTCCACGTCTTCGTATAGCACTTATATAACGGTATCTCCCGATATTCGGTATTTTAATGATTTTAGCGACATCATTCACCGGAATTGTTTTAAATTTCGGTATTTTAATAATTTTAGCTACATTATTCACCGAATTTTTTCAAGTTTTGCATTTGAATATTGTAATGGCTTATGACAAACTAATTCTACTATACATTTAATCACTTCTGACAATTACAGTTAAGCTGATAGCCAAGATATCGGATATAAGATAGGTACAATATCTATGTAAAAGAAATTGATGTCAGTTGTTCCGTTTATAAGTCAAGAACCGTTGGACTAATTTTCACAATTCCCATCATTTTGGATTGGCTTCTTGCCAGAAAATCGCGTAAAAATATGCCAATAAAAAAGCGATTATTTTTTCTTAATTTTTTTCAATTTTTGTCAAATTTTTATTGCATGCGATTTTTTCAATTTGACTTACTTTTTCTACACCCCGCATCACTTCATATTAAGGTTTTTATATACAGATCGCAATTATTGTTGGGTCCTCACGAAATTTTGCATGGGGGTAGGGTTAGGATCAGAATAAAAGCCTATTGTTATGAAGATGTACATTTAAGAGTTCAAATGAACCAAAAAAAATAAATAAATAAATAAATAAATAAATAAATAAAATTTTCATGAGTTTACAGTCGCTCTACAGGTCACAATTGAAAACCAATCGACACCGAATTTTGCTTGAGGAGGGAGTTAGGGAAGGGGAAGAAGTTTAGCATTTTGGATGACCATTGGATTATATTTAGCTGAAAAATGAACCACAACTTTCGCGTGAAATTGTTTCAATGCCTACACACGCGACGGAGGGCGAAAAAAATTGGGCAAACGCGCTAAGGGTAACATCTGGGTATAATGGGCATGATTTATAAAAAAAAAAAAACAAAATCTTCTAAAATTTATTGGGATATATGGGGGCTTTCTACATATTGTAGTTTTGTAGGGTATGACATGTTCGGTCCCGCACAACTATTGGCCATACCAAATCACCTGGGAGACAGCTCAATCTCAATAAACCATTCCTTTAAACAATGTGAAAAATTCCTTTAAAGTGATTTCATCTACAGTCCACCGCTCTACCAACTGAGCTATCGAAGGTTATGACAATGCATTGTCATAAAAAAATAATAAAATACAATAAATAAATATATAAATAAATAATAATAAAAGATAATACGCACCCCGGTTCAATTTCTTATCACTAGAACCTATGAGAATAAATGCAACAATGATTTATTTAATTCTTGCATCACATAAAATGCGCAACTGATAAGGTTTAAACCTGTGGATAGATCTGATAAAGCTTTTAGTTCTATAAAACGAAATATAATATATTCTGAATACGTGCAAAATGTGGTATACAATGCATTGCTTTAGCATCTAATACCATTTTAAACTGATGTGCCTAGATGTGTGTGAGGCCAGGTGAAAATTCATTTCATGTATGAGAAAATTGTTTATACAGTCAAAGCCTTTGTCTAGACAAATTAATACATGTGTTATCTTACATGCTGTGTATTCGGGTCGTTTGTGTGTGAAAAGCCAATAAACTTCCTCAACTACGTGAACCGTCTGATCGATCTGTTCAAACAGAAGAGAATGTGAAATCAATATAAAATTTCCTTCGAGCCGGATTTGAACCAGCGACCTATGGATATCTATTCCTGTGCATTGTCAGCTACAGTCCACCGTTCTACCAACTGAGCTATCGAAGGCTTGTAATGGTTTTGAGCATTAATATATTGCAGATTATTTTTGGTGTTCACGAAAGATTGAAGAAGTATAAGGATAGACTTCTGAAATTGGTAATGCAACATCTGTTGGAATGTGCATTTCTGTTTAAAAGATATTTTATTACAATTTCGTATGCAGTTCGAATTTCAACTGTTTTCTTCAAAACCGAAGATTTGGGATTGCAAATTTTGGAGAATTGAGTTAAATGCAAAATATTTGTTAAAACCTTCGATAGCTCAGTTGGTAGAGCGGTGGATTGTAGATCAAGCAGCTCAAAAACTGATATCAATAGGTCGCTGGCTCAAATCCGGCTCGAAGGAATTTTTTTCCACTCTACACATCTATTCTATTCTGGTAGCTTCAGCTGCAATGATGTGTTTATACAATCTATTCCCATGTACCCAATATAAGTACAATGCTTATACCAAATTTTGTTTAGAATTGCACATATTTAGCTTTTTTTATTCCCTCTACCTAAAATAGGAGGGTATATTAACTTTGTCATTCCGTTTGTAACATCCATAAATATTTGTCGTAGAACCCATAAAGTATATATATATTTATGATCAGCATAAAATTCTAAGTCGATTTAACGATATCCGTCTGTCTCTCTGTCGAAATCACGATACAGCCCACATTATTTGACGTAGAGCTTCAAAATTCGGCAGAACAATTTGGTTGGTATTGAAAATGAGATACATCGGTCCACGTTTTGGTATAGCCGTCATATAACCGTACCCTCCGATATTCGGTAGTTCGATAGTTTTAACGACATTATTCACTGGAATTGTTTAAAATTTGGTATTTGAATTTCGTAACGTATACTACAGCCTGTGACAGAAAATTGTCAGTGCGGGTCCACGTCTTCGTATAGGCCTCATACAACTGTACCTCCTTATATTCGGTATTTTGATGATTTTAGCTTCATTATTCACTGGAAATTAGCGACATTATTGACTGGAATTGTTTCAAATATGGTATTTGAAGTACGTCATGGATACTACAGCCTGTGACAGAAAATTGTCAGTGCGTGTCCACGGTTTGGTTTTACCCCATATAATGGTTCCTCCCTATATCCGGTATTTTGATGATTTTAGCTACATTATTCACCGATTTTTTCACGTTTCGCTTTGGAATATTATGATTAAAGTTGCCTATGCAGGTCCACATCGTCGTATATTTAACGGATTTTATTTATTTTTTTTTTTTTTGAAAATTGCAGAATTCATTCCAAATGGTGGAGGGTATTCAAGGTCGAACCTACAGATTGTTTACTTGTTATAATATTAAAAATATGGTGGTATATAAAGATGGACATAGAAACCAAATCAATGGTGCATATCTTGCGATCAAGAATTTACTCATATCTCAAGATTCGTTTATTATCACATGTTTTCACGTTCATGCATGCAAATATATAATGTTTTTGTATAACCTTCGATAGCTCAGTTGGTAGAGCGGTGGACTGTAGATGAAATCAATTCAGGGTTGATATCCATAGGTCGTTGGTTCAAATCCGGCTCGAAGGATTTTTTTTGCATTCAAAGGAATGTTCTAATGCATTGCTTAGGAATGTTTCATGTCTTCAGATTGTACCCCAGAAATATTAGTAAATTTTATAGTCTTAATCTTGACCTCTTGTCCCTATAGCGATTTATTTTGATATTCTCGACCATAAGAGGGGCGTACATTAGATATGTTATTCCATATACCGAAACTCGAAGCACTCGTCTAAGATCACATAAGGTATATATTCTCGATTAACATAACTTTAAAATCAATTTAGCTACGACATACGCTATCAAGTTTTCTTTCTTCAACTAGTTCTTGAACGTCAGCTGAACGAAAAACTCGAACAAGCTCGAATTTCCACAATCAATGGCTTTGTGGGGGAGGTACTTGATAGAGCTGACCGATATTGTACATTTTCGCACCTAACCTAGCTCTGACGCAAATATTTGGATTCGCAAAGTTGGAGCAAAATCGGATTATCCTTTCTCTTTCTGTGCAAAAAAAATATATATTTTTTTTTTAAATTTCAACCATTTGTGGGGGAGGTACCAGAAGGAGTCGACCGATATATTCCATCTTAACACCAGACCTTGGGTTAATAAAATTATTGGGATGTGTGAAACTTAAAGACAATAGGACTCTTACATCACATTTTATAAGAGTTGTAGTTTTTCAAAATGTTGACCCTTTGTGGAGGAAGTACTTGATGGAGTGGATCGATATTGTCCATTTTCGTACCTGACCTAGCACAGATGCAAATATTAAAATTTGCAAAGTTGGAGCAAAATAGGATTATAGCTTCCGTGCAGAAAATATATTTTTTGAAAATTTCGACCTTTTGTGGTGGAGGTACTAGAAGGAATGGACCGATATTGCCCATCTCCGAACTCGATCTAAGTTTCACAAAAATATTACGATGTACCAAGTTTGGACCAAATCGGATACTTCCTTCGAGAGCTATCGTGCGCACCAGCCAGCCAGACAGACGGACGGATGGACGGACATCGCTAGATCGATTCCAAATATCCTGGAACGGATTTGGCCCAAAGAGACCTAGGATCTAAGACCGTTATTTCGCTGAGGCACGTTTAACCATTTAGACCACAGACCTAAATCCAATGGCATTAACATTAAAAATTGTGGGAAAATTTCAAAATTATGTGGAAATCATTTGCGAGATTCCGTATAATACTACATAAGGCTTCCCCCACCGTTTTAAGTAAGATTAGTACCATATTAGTTTGATTTTTTTTAAAAAGGTAGACCTAAACCGCAGTAATGAAATGTTGAAATATTTGGTATTTTTAGTATCCTTCAAGGTCCCGGGAATAGCGACCCTCATTTGAAATCTAAAATTTAAGTTCTGCCCTTTCGCTAAATACCATAAACTGCCATTTACCACTTTTTAAGGTATTCGATCTTCCACAGTATCCTAGACTTCATTTGTCAAAAACCAATTTTATTAATAGACAATACATAGTCAATTCTTTTGACATTATCAAATAATAACCCCCTCACCTTCTGTTCAAATCGAATTCAACGCTACTTCGAACAGAAGACTGCATTCACACAATAGTCCTGTGTGTGAATATATCATTGATTCTTCCATTGTTTATCCAACAAATGGCTTAACTAAATCCCACGATTCTTCCAATGGCAGAGAATATTCATTCAATGCTTCTTTGTTAGCTTTTGTATTCTTGATTTCTTTTCATGTTTCTGGCATTGTTTATTATCGCCGTTTTCTGTTTCTTCTTTAATTTTCATTTATTCCCACACTTAATTATAAAATACAAAAAAAAGGTAAATATAAAAAGAAAAACCAGTGCACAAAGAAATCAAAGAGCACGAACACAGACAGACACAAAAAATGCATGCCCAGACACACGCACACACACACACACACATGCATACATACTTACACTATAATAGCCGGCTTCCTGCAGACTGATGTAGAGAAAAATGTTGAGCAGACCCACAAATTCGGTCGCTATAAACCCGAAGACAAACAAAAAGAAACTCTGACCGTAGGTGACCTTAAACATGGGCGGTTGCAGCGACGACCTTGGACGCAACTTTGACCCAATTTCAGCCTTCAATATGGATATGTATGCAATCAGACCGATGAGCATCAGCAAACCTTTTTTTTTTGTATTCGCAAACGAAAAAAATTAGTTTTTCATCCATCCATCCATTCAGACATTCATTTATTCCGGCATATGGCATGGTTGATAGGTTGGATGGTTGGTCGGTATGGCCGGAGGATTGTCGTTTGCATCCGGCACAAATGAATAGTTTTGGTATAATTCGAATTGCAATGTGGTTGTCATCCTCGTTGTCATTACCATGGCCAGCACCCATCCATTGAACGTTAATGATGACATGTTTGTGCAGGCAAGATCCAATATTGGAATTTTTTATTTTTTTTAATGAGCAGGACAATTACAGTAACAATTTGTAGCAGCATCGCCACGGATGATGTTGTTGGTTACGAAGTGCGGCATAGACATCAGTAATACAAGTTGGATAATCATGTCGAAGAAGAATGAATGACAAGTAAACGAGAGAGAGAGCGAGAGTTAAGATTGGTATGAACAAAAAACAAAAGGAGACAACAACAAATAAAACACATTGACAATAATTAAAAGTTAAATTGAAATTAATATTAATGACAGCCACAACAAGTGTAAAAAGTTTATCGTTCGTTTCTTCACAGCAGCAGGTGTCAAGTAGAAAATGCTGTTGTTTGTGTTTGGATACATGGATGTATGGTTGGATGGTTGGATGGCTGGCTGGTTGAAGAGTGGATAGACACAAGTATGAGTGGATAAATGATGGAACATGAATATATAGTATTTTTAAAGGGATTATGGTTTTAATGAGACACTGAACATTTCATTATTCCTTTTCAATGTCGTTGAAGGTTTTCAATGAGGAGAGGAGGATAAAGAGAGAGATACTTGCAAAAAATGTTGTTTAATGAAGAATGGAAGACAATTGTTCACACAATTCCTCCATAGTGGATTGCGTATTATAGTTCATGAAAAAAAAAAAAAAAAATAAATTATAAGTACATCGTTCAAGATAACACTTTAACCATATTTCTTTACGAGAATAGCAAAAAGTTACAACAACATGTGTTGGGGGTATTATGAGTTTGATTGGGCCAACAATTATGTAACACCTCGAAATATTTGTCCCCGACATATGAATGTATATATGGATCTTCCTATCTCGCCAAGCTGACTCGATCTAGCTATGTATGTCCGCCCAGACGACCGTCTGTCCATGTTAATTTGAAATAAAGCTACAGGTCGATCCTCATGAGAATGAAGATGGGGTTAGGGTCAAAATAGAACCCTATTGTTTTTGGAGATGATTGCAAAATATTCAGGCGTTGAAATGAACCAAAAAAAAAAAAAAAAACAGAAAAAATCCAAATTTTGCAACGGATCTATAGATCGCAATTTCAGGGTGAGATGAAAAAACTGCAACCAATTTCTGAGTGCTATCATTTCTAAGCCATTCGTCCGACAACTGTTAAAATTATTACAGTGACAGGTCATTATTTTGTTTACAAGCCTACAAAAGCATTTTGGTGAGAATTTTTCAGAACAAAAGTTATTCGAGATGGAACTCAAGCGTGATAGTGTGATTTCTTTATATTTGGCTGGAAAACCACAAGTAGCTATCGCTAGAGCTCTCCTGCATTTAAATGTGAATAAAACGTTTGAGTCTCGTACCATCACTCGTTACCTTGATACTAGTAGCGTAGCCCGACGTCAAGGCAGAGGACGGCAGAAAACAGCAACATCAGCAGAAATGGTTCGAAAAGTAAAGAAGCGACTAGATCGAAACCTACGTCGCAGTGGCCGAAAAATGACACGTGAGCTGAACATATCGCAATATTCCATTCGGCAAATATTGAAAAATGAACTCGGGGCAAAGCCATTAAAATTTCAAAATGTGCAAGAACTTACCCCGCAACAGAAAGAAAATAGACTCAAAAGAGCTAAAGACTTGCTTCGCTTGGCCGAACGTGGTGAACTGCCGAAATTGATTTTCTCCGATGAGAAAACATTCGTTGTTCAGCAGTTTGTATACAAACAAAATGATCGTGTTTACTTGCCAAAGAGGTCCGCTGAAAATGTGCACCATCGGTTGGCCACCAGAACTCAAGCGACGGCCATGATGATGGTGTGGGCTGCCATAACAGATGATCGTCGCTCTTCGCTCGTATTAATCGACCGTGGCATCAGAATAAATGCCGAATATTATCGCAAAGTATTCTGGAGGGTGTATTAAAGCCTTGGGCACGCAAACATTTTGGCCGCAGACCTTGGACATTCCAACAGGACTCAGCACTACCGCACTCAGCACGCGCCACCAAAGAATGGTTACAAAATGAGGTTTATCCCTTCATTTTCAGCTCACAATGGCCACTAAAATCTCCGGATACCAATCCGTTGGACTATTGTGTCTGGAGTATTTTGGAAAGCAAGGTTGGCACTAAAAAACACCGACGTATCGATCACCTCAAGCAAGCGCTTTGCCGGGAATGGACCAAAATACCGCAGAGCAACATTTGGGCAGCTTGTGACGGTTTCATTGGCCGTTTAAAGGCCATAATTCGTGTCAAAGGTGACCAATTCGAATAAATTTAAACTTATTCTAAAATTTGATGCTATTTCCGACATTTTTTGTTTTCATTCAAAAAAAAAAAAAAAAATTGAAAAAATATGGCGTTTTACTTTGTTGCAGTTTTCTCATCTTTATTTTTTATTGTTGTTTCGGTCAGAGACAATATAAAACTTTTGCAGGACTATGTGACATTATTTCAATAATGAAAAAAAATGAGAAGTTCAATGTGCATAGGAAATAATTTGAGTGTTATTTCCGAATGAGAAAATAAGGTATCGGACGCAAAATACCGATATTGTATGTTTTGGTAGAATATTGGTTCCGGATCTATGTTGACTATTCGAAAAGAAGAGCAATTAGGTTCAACATTTGCTTTTATTATGTAGTATATATGGAAATGTTTCTTAGGGGAATCTTCATTCTAGTCAAAAGAAGACTCTTCTTCGGAAAATTGTTGTGTTGTAGGGTATCAAAAGGTCGAGTGGGGTAGACCCATACTTGCTTTTAATTAATTTCATAAATTCACATTTTGAGTCGATTTATGCATGTCCGTCCGTCCGTCCGTCTGTCCATGTACTTTTATAAGAAAGTTAATAAAAAACAAGTAAGCAAAGGCTACAGTCGAGCGGGACCGACCGTTGAATACCCTACAACACTATATACACCATACAGTTTATATAGGCGAGATACTCGAAGGAATTCCACAAGATATTGTGACAAATAATAAAAGAAAATCATCATGTTTCGTTCTCTAATTTTATATTTAATAATAGCAACTTAAACGAATTTGCTCATTTCCAATTTATTGGTAGATGTTGCACGTAAATGGTCTTCCTAGATCTGGAACCAATATTTCCCAAAGACCTATAATCTCTCAGAAGTGGCAAAAGATTAACATTTATTATTGGTTTTTGACTAAAACGCATCTATATGAGATACAGACATTTGACTATATTCTTCACCGAAATCAGCCTTAACGAAATAGTCAGAAGTGCGTCTTTCCTGCATTTGTGAATTCTCCAAAAAGACACTGGAATGTATATTTTCGTATTTTGTCTACAAAAGTTGGCAAACTATTTCACACATTTAATATTTTTGAACGGCCATCCAAAACTGCTTGGCTTTTGCAATGTGCGGTAACTTCCATTCAAATGCGCGTGAGGATCGGGCGATAATTACGACTTGCTGACAAATTTGCAGTTTTTTTTTGTCCATTTCAACCCCTAAATATATGGCGATTATCTCCAAAAAGAGTAGGCTTCTATTCTGACCCTCATCTTATCCCCATGCAAAATTTCATAAGGATCGGGCCATAAATGCGATCTGTATATGATATCCAAATATCCTAACTACTCAGTTCCGTTAGCTGTAGAAATATTACCAAATGTTTAATTCAAAATGAAAATATGCCAAAAATATGACAAAATTGAAAAAATATGAGAAAATATTACAAAATCAATATTTTCATCTTTAGAGAGATATTTTTATGCGATTTTTTAGAAGTTTTTTCTTTCCTGCCAAGAGGCCATTCTGAATTAATGAGAACTGTCGAAATCAGTTCAGCCGTTCTCGACATATAAGAGATCTTTCAAACATATCTTCTTTGATAGACATACATATCGCACATATTTTGCTATATATCCGATTTGATGGATGTTAACATCAATGTAAAGATCAGAAATAACCTTGTCATGGCTTTGTGATTTCGCCGGGATTTAAAATATTCGTGGTTTAATGAAAATTTTTTGAATTTTTTTAACACAAAAGATATGGTCTATTTTACCCGCTAAATATTATCCGATGACCACCCAAATTGGTAGGATTCTTCCCCGCCCTAAACTCTAGCTACAAGCGAAATTCCGCGTCGATTGGTCTATAATTGTGACCTGTAGAGCAACTGCAAAATCAGGAATTTTTTCAGTTTTTGGTCCATTTCAACCCCTAAATATTATGCGATCATCTCCAAAAGAAATAGGGTTCTATTCTGACCTTAACCCCACCTACATTCTAAATTTCGTGAAGATCGGGCCATAATTGCGACCTGTAGCATGATTACAAATTAACATGGACAGACGGACAGACGGACGAACGGACACACATAGCTAGATCGACTCAGCTCGGCGAGCTAGGAAGATCCATATATACTTTCCTATATGGGAAACCAATATTTCGAGGTGTTACATAAATTCTGGCCCAATCAAACTTATAATACCCCCAACACATAGTGCTGTAGGGTATAAAAATTTGTTGTTCGATTGCCATATATTTTTGGATCGTTAATTTGTTTGGCCCAAGGACAAACCCTACTGAAATTTGTGTCAATCGTACATATAGTCAAACTTAAGTACATACCTAGATACATGATGAAAATAGTAGCTGTAGCCCCCATATATATTTTTTTTTCCCGATTTTATTTCTATGTCCCTCAAAACCTGTAATATACCCTCCAAAAATTATGATTTTCCGAACAAGATTTCAGAGATATCGTAGAAATACCTTTGCCATATTTTGTCGAGATCGGTTGATATTTGGATATATCTCCCATATATTTCCCTCTAATTTGATGTAAACGACACCATGCTTGCCCATTTAAGTTGTTTTGTCCGATTTTTTATTTATATAATTTGGAAGTCATAACATGCACTCTATAGCACAGATATTTGGTTGGAGAGGTCATATACAACATAAATTTACCCAAAACAATTTTACGGAGAATTTGTTAAAAAATTAATAACAAATATAGCTTTTAAAGTTAGCTTCAACCGATTTCAAATTAAATGGCTCTAAAGCCACAATAAGCTATTAATAGTCCACAGGTCTTTATAAATGCTTATTTTTTACAGGTGGCTTAACTAAATGTTCATCGTGATGTTGGATATCATAAAGTCGGCACAGCCCTTTTGTCTTCCCTATCGCGATTTTTTGTATTTTTAAAGTTTCTCTAATTAGTCCACTTTTGATGGCCCTTACTCATAAGAGTAATGGCTCATTTAAGACATTTTCAGAATTCACCAGACTTTGCATCGCATTACCACCTAATTTTGTATACTAAACCAGTAGGCACAAAGGTCCCCATTTGTTTTGTGGTGAAGGGCAAAAATGTCTGACCAACTCAAACCAAGCCCTTTTCATTTATTCCCCCAAAAGATTTTCCCTTTTCCAAAAGGGTTTCTCGTTGATGTGTCCTAATGAATGCAATCAATTTAAAAGTCATCAGAATGTGATTAACTAAACTAATTGCCGGTAGAGCTTCTTTGGGGCATTCATACCCATGCGTATGAGCATTGTTTGGGTCTGGTGTTGCATGTAAATCATTCGCTCCCCAGGACTGACTCATAAAAATCCAAATTATTTACATTGATATGCTTGAATCATAATAAAACGAAGTACCGAGTTCATGTAAACAGTGCAGCAGTGGTTACCAACACAATTACAATAATTCATCTCTCTCTTGTTGTTGTTGGTCATGTTGGTCTTCCTTGGAATGTCTGTATAAATTTGCCACAAATTTATGGCCAGCCAAGAAAAAAATAGTTGCATATTTTGGTATGGACCCTGACGATACTAATGATGGTGGCGGACGAGCAACAGGAGAGGCATGAGAAAATATCTGTGTGCTCCCTAATTGAGTGACTTGTTTTTTTCTTCTCTTTTTATTTTGTAGTTGTTTTCATTTGTTTGTGTCTGCAGTGGCAATGGAGTTATGGTCTTCATGTAACCACAGATGATTGATGGAAATTGGGTACTGGGAAACTGGGACTGTAATGATAATTGTACCGTATATTTTTCATAAAAGAGAAAATCAGAAAATAAGAAAAAAACAAAGCCAAAGAGAACAAAAGAGAGAACCAACCCATAACAAAGAATTCCACAGCAATCCTTTATTCTACTTACCTGACACAATGAACATAATACCGGCACTAAAGTAATATAAATTATTTTGATGCGAACAGGTTGGTATCAGGAACACAATGAAACTCAGCAGCAACACAATGCCAGAAGCCAAAAAGAATGGACATGACTTGGTAACAGTATCTGCAAAGACATAATGAAGAATACATAAAGCAGTGGAATGTGAGTAAGCATAATAAAAAAAAATGAAGAAAATGAGTACACAAGGCTATTGTTTGGTGGAGCCGGCCTCCAGGTCACCGTACACTTTTTATTTATTTAAAGTAATTGAGTCATTGAGTTTGTGGAGCAGCTGCTTCACAGGAAAGTTTTTAACTATACTTTCAGAGAATGAAATCGTTTTAAATGAGTTATGTAAGTAATTTGTTGAAAATATTATTCCAACCAATTTTTAAAAGAATAATAATTAAGAAACTAACTTTTGAATGAGAATTTTTTGCAAAGACTAGCCGATGCTTGGCAGTCACAGATAATCGTACCTAAAAATGGGAAAAACAAGTTAAAAAGTATAATTCGGTTTTGTCGACGGATTTATACACTCAGCCATTGTCTGTTTATTTATATATATTTTTTGGCATTCGTTTTTATTATTAACAAGTAAAAAGATGTAAGTCCACCATTTGGGACGAATTTGGCGATTCTCAAAATAAAAAAAAAAAAATCTGTTAAAAATTCTAAAATTACCGAATGTAGCTGTTATATTAAGGTCTATACGACGGCATGAACCTGCTATGGTAATTTTTGTCATAAGTCATTACAATATTTAAATTCGGAACAAAAAAAAAAAAAAAAATAGGTGAATAATGTAGCTAAAATCATCAAAATATTGAATATAGGGCCATGCCGTTATATGGGAGCTATACGAAGACGTGGACCTGCACAGACAATTTTCTGTCTTAGATTGTAGTATCCATTACGAACTTCAAATACCAAATTTGAAACGATTCCGATGAATAATGTCGCTAAAATCATCAAAATACCGAATATCGGGAGGTCCGGTTATATGGGGGCTATACAAAGATGTGCACCTGCATAGACAATCTACTGTCATAGGCTGTAGCATCCACTACGAACATCAAATACTAAATTTGAAACAAATCCGGTGAATTGTTAAAATCATAAAAGTACCGAATATCGGAGGTACCGTTATATTTGGGCTACACCAAAACTGGGACCTACATAGCCCATTTTCAATACCAAAAATACTGCAGACGTAATATACATTTGAGTAAAATTTATCAATCTACTTCATTTCGTTCGGAAGCTAGAGTGATTTCCACAGACGGAGAGATAGACGGGCATCGCTATATCGACATCGAATTTTATGCTGGTCAAAAATATATATACTTCGTTGGGTCTAAAATGTATATTTCGATGTGTTACAAACGAATGACAAACTTAATATACCCTCCATACTATGGTGAAGGGTATAAAAACGTAAAGCCTTAATGGGGGAGGTTCCATAGGAGTTGGCCAATATTGTCCAACTAATCTCTGATATAAGTCTGATATGACATTGCAACGAGCCATATTTGGACTATATCGATTGGGTGAGGTATTAGAAAAATTCCATATCCACATCAGATTTCTTGTTGAGGGAAATATTAAGATATACTAGATTTGAATGGGATTGCTGGCTTGTTTCGCAAGTTATGAAAGATATAAGTATTTTAAATTGTGATCCCTTGTGGGGGAGGTACCAGAAAGGGTACGCATCAGATTTTGTGTTAACAGAAATATTGCAATGCGCTTATTTCACATTTTTGGGAAGATAAAATTATTCAAAATTTTGACCTGTTGGCCGTGATACCAGAAGGAGTGGTCCGACATATTCCATCTTCACACAAGATGGGTCCAAGTTTGAAAATAATCGGATGCTCATTTCGCGTTTTATAAGCTTCGTGGTTATTCAAAATGTTGACCCTTTAGTGGGGAAGGGGTGGATCGATAACTACCATTTTCACATCAGATCTTATGCTAATAAAAATAATTATAAATGTGTCATTTGAAGGGAATCAAATGCTAATTTCGCATTTTATGGGCGTTTTATTATTTGTTTAAGAACTTCAAATTGGATAAAGATATTTATGAGAGCAATATTCAAATCTGAATTTCTGACCGGTATTTGAAAGTCTGTCTCAAACATCAGTGTTATGGATGAAAAATATGTATAGTTGACATATCCCTATCTCTGAACCGATTCTCATCAAATTTAACATTTTATTTCTAGGCGAAATTTTTAGTATTGAAAAGAGCTTAGCAACATTTTAGTTTGTTGACCTCATACAGGGTGAGATGAAATAATTTCAACCAACTTCAGACTGCTGTCATTTCTTAGCCACTCGTCCGATAGCTGTTAAAATTATTCCAGGGACAGCTCATTATATTGTTTACCAGCTTACAAAAGCATTTATCTGAGAATTTTCCAGAAAAAAAGTTATTCGTGATGGAATTCAAGTGTGATTTCTTTATATTTGGCTGGAAAACCACAAGTGGCTATCGTTAGAACACTCCAGCATTTAAATGTGAATAAGTCCTTAGTGTATCGCACTAACGCTCGTTACCGAGATACTGGTAGCGCTGCCCGACGTCAAGGAAGTGGACGGAAGAAAACAGGAACATCAGCGGAAATGGTTCGAAAATTAAAGAAGCGACTTGATCGAAACCCCCGTCGCAGAAGCCGAAAAATGGCTCGTGAACTGAACATATCGCAAAATTCCATTCGGCAAATATTGAAAAATGTGCTCGGGGTAAAGTCATTGAAATTGAAAAATAGACTCTAAAGAGCTAAAGAGTTACTTCGCTTTGCCGAAAGTGGTGAACTGACGAATTTGGTGTTATCCGATGACAAAACATTCGTTGTCCAGTAGTTTGTAAACAAACAAAATGATGGTGTTACCAAAGAGGTCAGCTGAAAATGTGCTCCTTCGGTTGGCCACCGGAACTCAAGCACCGGCCATGGTGATGGTGTGGGCCACCATAACAGCCGATGATCGCTCTCCGCTCGTATTAATCAACCGTGGCATCAGAATAAATGACAAATATAATCGCGAAAATATTCTGGAGGGTGTATTAAAGCCTTGGGCACGCAAACATTTTGGCGCAGACCTTGGACATTCCAACAGGACTCAGCACCATCGCACTCAGCACGCGCCACCCAAAAATGGTTACAAAATGAGGTTCCTCGCTGCATTTCCAGCGCACAATGACCACCAAAATCTCCGGATACCAATCCGTTGGATTATTGTATCTGGAGTATTTTGGAAAGCAAGGTTGGCTCTAAAAAAATACCAAGGTGCCGATCACCTCAAGCAAGCGTTTCGCCAGGAATGGACCAAAATACTGCGGGGCAACATTCGGGCAGAGTGTGACGGTTTCCTTGGCCGTTTGAAGGCCATAATTCATGCCAAAGGTGACCAATTCGAACAAATCTAAACTTATTCTAAAATTTAATGCAATTTCCGACATTTTTGGCTTTTATTAAAAAAAAAAATTAAAAAAAAATGTAAAAATTTTGGCATTTGACTTTGTTGCAGTTTTTTTATCTCACCCTGTATATGTTTGCCCTGGGACGAACCCCACTGTAATTGGTGATAATCGGACCAGATTTGCATATAGCTCCCGCTTTCGGGTTAGTTGTGCTCCAAATGGCCAATATCAGTCCAAATGACCTGAATTTTGGCACATCCAACATAATTCAGTCTAGAAGCAAGTACATCAAATTTGGTAAAATCGGCTCAGATATAGCTATAGCTCCCATATAAATGTTTCATACGGAGTTGGTGTTTAAGTCCTTCACATTCGGAATATGCATTCGACAACGATGATATTGGGTACCAGATATCTTATAGAGCTCGGAAATACCTTTGCCAAATTTAATCGAGATCCCTCTGAAACCTAACTATTACTGCTCTGAACGTAAACGTTGATAGATGGTATGATCTACAGCAAATAAATTATTTTGTTACGGGAGCTCTACTAAATATGCATAGTGGTGTAGGGTATATTATATTCAGCCCCCCTCGGCTTTGACTTTTCCTTACTGGTTTCCGTATACCCTTTGTAGCCGCATGACTAGCCTGAGGGTATATTAAATTTGTCAGTTAGACTATTGAATGTTTGGTTTTAATATTAGCCCACTTTATTATATACACCCTCTTAATTTTCGATAATTTGGAGATTTCTTCTCTAATTTCCAACCAATTCAACTGTAATTTGATGTTTTGGGATCCCTCGGAAAAAATATTTATTACAGGATAACTTTTTGTATAACCCCATATTTTAGTAGCTTTGGACGTTCGGGATTTTCAATGTTTATATGTTAATTCCCACCCGAAGAAGGTATATTTAGGCATTTCGGGTGAATCAGGGCTTACTCCTAATCACTTTTTAAAATTGCCGGAGACTTATGGAAATCAATGAAGGCTTCAACCTCGTAATTTTCGGAATTTTTAAGGTTTCTGTCCAAAATGCAAACCAAATTCGCTGTAATTTGGAATTTTGATTTCTCAGTGAGTTATTTAACTACTCTCAATAAAGGACCCCATATAACGGTACCTCTTGATTTTAGGTTTTTTTCCACCCCAAATGAACTATAATCTGACATTCGTTTTCGCAAAGAATAGTCAAAGTTGATATTTTTTCGACATTTTAAAGGTTTCCACCCACTCAACGATAACTTGATATTATGGGGTCCCTATGGGTAGATTCACTCCTCACAAAAAAAAAATATTAAGTGCAGGTCCACTTTTTGGAAATGTCCCATATACCGTGAAGATTTTCGATCTTTTGAAGGCTTCGCCTCGAATTTAAGAACCCATTCAGCTATAATTTTAAATTTTAAGTTTTCAGAGGGTAGTCTTTAAAATCAATTGATATTGGTCCTTCCTTTTAGGTTTACCCCACATATTCAGCTGTAATTAGGAATTTTCTCGATAGATAAACTATGAACAAGTAAAAAAGTATCGGTCGGTTTTGCCGACAGTTCGATTATTTAAAAATATTTTGACTTCTATTATGATTATTCAAATGTTTAAGCCTTATGCAGTTGGTTCGGAAGGAATTGACCAATATTGGCCATTTCGTATCGGACCTAAAAAAAATATGATATAAATATTGCGACG